TTTTTTTTTTTTTTTTTATCTCTAGCATTTTATCGATCATATATTTTTTTCGAGCTCACGACTCTGTAAGATTACATGTGTTTGGTTTTTTGTCCAGATGTCACCATCAAGATTGCCGGGGCATGATTCTTACCCACAGGTCGAGGAGTTGGCTATTCTACATAAGCTAGAGGAGGTCGGAAGTTCAGTGAAGGTTAGAATTTTTATAACTTAAATTTCGATTTTCTTTTTACCTGTACAAATATCTCTGTTGAATTACGTTATTTACGCGCGCGGAGTCCTTTTTTGCAGAGAGTTGAAACTTTGATTCAAGAGCAGAACCAACAAACCACATGAACTTGCAGATTTAAGTGAAAGTCTTTGTTCAAGAGAGGGCTTTTTGCCTTTTTGTTGAATATATTTTGAAGTGTGCACTGTTATTGTATTACAATATTGATTACACAGGGTGTAACAAAGGAGGCGATTTGTTACACTTGAATACATGCGATCTAAGCACTTGGGCATGAATGATGAAACTCATCGTAAATATATATTATCTTTTTCTTAAAACAAATAAAAATTAAAAAATTGAAAGTCAAAGTACAGTATCCAAAAAAAAAAAAAAAAATCTCAAAATGTTTAGTGGAATCACAAAATATAAGAAATTGGAGAACTTTTTGGCCATTAATTTAAAGACAATATAAATGAATAAAGTAACTAACATCTAAGCAGTGGACACAGTCCACCTTGGGTAGGTGAACATTACTTCATATATATATATATAGGTAAGGGATCATATGAGAATGACTCCTAATGAAAGAAATAAGAATAAATTTGGAGCATTGGATCATGAAGTCAAAAGTAATAAAAACTAGTCAAAATCGCGGTGGCATTATTGTAAATACTGGAACATTATTAGATCCAATATAACTAATTAGGGCAAATATGTAATTTTGACCCATCATCATTTTTTGTGGGTCCCATCCCTTCTCTCTTCTTTCTCCTCTCTCTTTTCTTCTTCCTCTCTCGTTCTTTCTTCCTTTCTCTCTCCTCACACAAAATTCTGAGTTTTCACACGCACACACACAATTCACACACACACATACACAAAGTTGCACGCACGGCAGGCAGTCCTCAACCACCATCCCGGGCGGCCGCCGTCGCCCCAACGCCAGCCACTCCGCCTCCCCAGCCGGGCTGCGCGGTTACGAAGTCCTCCCGTCGGGCCTCCCCAGCCCGTCCAACGCGCTTCTCCATTCCGGTCGTCAAGCCTCCACAACCCCGCCGCTGGCCGCAATTAAAATTTTAGAATATAAAATGACAATCAAAACAAAAATAAAAAAAAAAAAAGAAAAATGACCGCCGGACATTGCGACCGGATCCGGCAAGATAGTGTCAGCTCGAGGATGTTAGTCGCCTGAGAAGGTTGTGAGATGGACGAATGAGGTTTTCGGCAACGAGCAGAGGAGATGGCTGTGAGAGGATATATGTTTCAAAAGGGAGGGGCATGTTTCGAAAATTTGATAAGTTGTAATTTTAAGAACTTTAATTTATTTCAATTTAGTTCAATTTAGCTTTTGGTTCAATATCTAATTTACTAAAAATTCTTCATACTTAAAAAAAATTGATAAGTGCACATTATGGTTCACTGGATTGCACTTTAACATTCAATACATTGCACGTTACTGTTTAGTACATTGCACAATGAAATGATAATTATTTTGCATACTATCTTGTGTCTGTGTGTACATTAAAAATAATAAAAAAAAATTATAAAAAAATATCAACGAGCTATAAAATATAAATTAATTTTAATTTGTTGGTTCAGTTGAACCGACTGGCCAAAATGTAAAATTGAAATAATTGATTGAACATTTGGAAAAGTTAAATCAAATAGAAGTACTTGGTTTATTCTGGCGGTTAGCCGAATTAACAAAAAATATCTAAATTAACTTATATTTTATGTTATAAGAAAATATTGTTTAAAACGTTGATAATATTATTTATTATTTTTATATAATTTTTGGTTGAAAAAAAATTAAATTCGGTCAGATTCGATATCTGATAGTCATGTAAAGTGCAACGTGTTATTTTATAAAGTGCAACTTGTTATTTTATAAAGTGCAACGTTTTGATATATAAAGTGAACTGGTGTAATTTTGGTACGCTAGCATGCTTGTTTTTTTTTTTTTGTGTGGATAAATCATGTGATTAATGTTAAAGTATTATCTATATTCGTTTTTTATATTTATGTTGTTGTGCTACTTTCTCCATATATGTTGACGTTAATCGTGAAGTGTTTGATAAAGTGCAATGCGCCGTGTTATAAGGTGCAACGTGTTGTTTTATAAGGTGCAACGTGTTGTTTTATAAAGTGCAACGTGTTGCTATAAAAAAATACTGATATATAAAGTGCAACGTGCAATATTAGTTGT